CTGCCCCGGGGACAGAGCGGGACAGCGCGGGATGGCAGTGGGGACAGACCTTGCTGGGGGCTCAGGCCGCTGCTCGGACAGGCCAAGGGACACACAGACACCAGTGCTGCCCCACAGAGCGGAGGGCTGGGGCAGCAGAGCCCCCCCATGCAGGGAGGCTGTGGGAGCCTGGGGGGACCCAGAGCCATGGCACAGCTCAGTGCGGGTGAGCTCCCAGCCCTCTCTGGGCTCTGCTGGGCACATACAGCACAGCAGGATGGTGCCGGTGCCAGGGCTGCCAGGGGAGCCAAATCCCTGCCTGCAGGCAGCAGGCAGCCAGCGGAGCCTGCAGCACACCCACAGCTTGGGGTCAGCCTGGTCCTGCCCCTCACGGGAAGAGCCTGGTCCATCCTCTCTCCCCTGCAGCCTCGGGAGGCTCCAAGGCTGGGCCTGCAGCCAAAGTCTGCCCCTCCTCCCTGCATGACTCACAGCTCCGATTCAGTCTGTTTCCACCCTCTAATGCCAGCGGCGCCAGGCTGGACGGGCACTGCAGTGGGTCCCAATTAGGGACAGTCCTTGGCAGTCAAAGAGAAGAGGGAAAGGGTCTGGAGACAGCCTGGCTTCCAGAAACTGCCCCAAGGCAGCAGCTCAACCTCCAGGGAGGAACAGGGTCTGGCTTTCCCCACCATCAGCTTCAGGAGGGTTTGGGCTGTGCTCAGGAGCAGTGGTGCTAGTCCCACCAGCTAGGTGCAGTGTTAGGGGCCAGAGACCACGACAACCCAGGGAGGAACCCAGTTAGTAACAAGAGGGGTAAATCTCCCTTGCCCTGAGGCACCCAACTGCTGCTCCACAGTTTATTGGAGCCATCGGACTGAAATCCCAGACAGCTGCTCATATGGGATTCCCTTCATGCCCCATGAGCTCACGGGCACTCACTGCCAGGGTCATGGAGCCGTCTCCCCGCCAGACACAGCCGGGGCGTGTGTGTGGCAACTGCTCCCTTGGGAAAACAAGGAGGAAGATCCTGGGTGACCTCAGGACGGGGTGAAATTCATGACTCACTCGACAGTGAGGGTTGTTAACACGTGGGTAAGGTCATGGCCTCACTCCAGACAGCCAAGGCTCCCTCCAACGCCTCTACCCTTCCCAGGGCATGAGGCAAGGGGCAGAGACACACCTGGAATGCCCAGGGTGGCACAGGTGAGACTACAGTGGCTTCTGGCAGTGAGGATCAGGAGATAAGGACATTCCTACCTTTGTGATTCATCGTCTTCAGGCACTGCTTGCTCTGGATGTCCCACAGCCGCACAGTTTCGTCGTGAGAGCCCGAGAGCAGCAGGCTGCCGTCAGTGGAGACCGACAGACACGTCACCTGGTTCCTGGAATGGGGAAGAGGATGTGTAAACTTGGGATGACTCCGGGACTGCCACAAACTGTCGAGGTGGGCAGACAGGGGCAGTGAGGCGGCTGCAGGTATGTCTGGTCCCTCACCTGTGCCCTTTGAAGACCTTCCCGTTCTCCCGCTCCGGCTGGAAGGTCCGGTCCCTCTGGACTGGCTGCAGAAATGAAGGCAGGAAGGGAGAAGGATTAAAATCCAGGAAGGTTAAAGCCAGCAGGTTCACCACTGGAGAGGACAGAGGAGACACAGGCCCTGCTGTGCCCTGGCAGGTCACACCAGTCCCATCCAGGAGGTGATGGTGGCTTGACGTGACAGGACACACCTGAGGCCCCACACACTCACCCAGGTGCAGAGGTCAACCTGGAAGATGGACCCATCCATGCCACCGCAGAACATGTGGTACTCAGAGAGGTCCAGAGTCACTGCCATGATCCCCACGTCGAAGAGCACAGACAGCAGGAGCTCTCCAGAGGAGATCTCCCAGAGCTGGAGTGAGAGGGGCAGGAGAATCAGGGGCTGAAACATTAACGGCAGGACTGGGGGAACACTGGCACCTGGCATTCCACCCCGGCACCCCCCTCTGCTATGCAGAACCAGGGCAGAACCCCGGATCAGCCTCTGTGATGAGGCACTTTCCCAGGCAGCTCCAAAACACCCTCTGTGCCTGCCCTGCCCCTGCCTGCAGGCTCCAGCCTGCTCTGCTCCCTGTGGACATCAGCAGTGGGAATCAGAGGAGCTGACCCCGACGTTCCCAGGGGAACAGGCACTGCAGCTGCCCAGCCCAGGGGCAGAGGCAGCAAAACTGCTGGTGGTGGAGAGGCAGAGCCCAGGTCTGGCAGCTCTGAGTCACTACTGAGACAGCCAAAAAATTCAGCCTCTGCAACCCTTGGGACAGCCTGGGCAGAGCCTGGGGACAGCTTCCTGCAGCCCAGCTTGGAGCCTGCAGGGTCTGGCACCTCGGAATGAGCCTCACCTTGGCTGTCTGGTCGAGGGAGGCGGTGGCAGCCCGAGCCAGGGGCCCTCCGAAGCCGCAGCAGAGGTCAGTGATGGGGAGGCTGTGCCGCGACCAGACGTGCCGGGGGTCGGGAATCTGGGTGGGCTCTGCCTGCAGCACGCTGTGGGGAGAGCAGGGAGGGTCAGCCAGGGCAGAGCCCCATGGGAAGCTGTGCCATGCTCTGCTCCCACTGGGATCACTCTCTGGGCTGAAGGACCAAGTGGCACGTGGGAGTCACCACTGGTCACAGCATGTGGAAAAGGAGGGCACTGCTGAGCTTGCCATCCCTGAGGGACAGAGACCCCAGCTGCCATCAGCAGGGAGAGGGCACGATCCACTCTGTGTCACCCGGGGATATGCCATAATCCAGGTGACACTCCAGGGAAAAGCTCCTTGCCCGTGTGGATGTCAACAGTGGATGAGCCCCCGAGGAGAGCACAGGCCTAGCTGGGACACACAGGCTCAGCCAGAGCTGATCCCACCTCCAGGACAAGGGGAACATCTCCTGCTCCAATGTCCCTGCCCAGGTGTTCCCTGTGCCTGCATGAGCAGGCAAGTCCCCCGGCCCCTCTTACCTGTAGAGGTTCCACACCAGGGCCAGGCAGTCCTTGGCCCCCGAGAGGAAGTGGCTGCTGTCATCGGTGAAGCAGAGGCACGTGAGGTCCTGGTAGTGTCGGTTCAGGATGGCGAGGAGGTTCCCGTTGGACACCTGGAGTGAGGGGAAGAGCAGGAGGTCGTTAGGCAGTGTGGAGGTGCCCTGGGATAGCATGGTGCCCTGCCCTCAGTGCAGTAAGGGGAAAAGAGGAGGTTCTGTCGACCACAGGAGCCCATTGGCACCTCACAACCAGTGAGTGACACCACTGAGGTGCAGCCAGAACAGCCAAGTGTGTTCAGGACCAAAGGCAGTGTGAGGAGGGCCTGGCAGGTTAACTCTGGAATCGAGTGATGTCAGTGCAGTAAAGATTTCCTGTTCACTCTCAACCGTCATATGGCTTTGATGGCTTCTTCCCTTCTCCCACAGCCCCTCAGGAGGTGGCACAGGAGGCTGTGTGACACCCCAGGGTGGCTGTGTGGTCCCAGGCCAGCGGGAGCCTTAGGGTGGACAAAGAATTCACCAAACCCAGAGCATTTCTTGTTAAAAGGCAACACTGCAGATGGGGAGGGAACAAAGCAGTGAGGGAGCCCTGAATAAAATAGTGGAGTTAACTTCCTCCTGTTGTCTGAATTACACCCAGAATCAAACCAAACTGCAAGTCAAGGAGTTTCACAGACAGCACAAACCCAGGGCTCTGGGTGCTGGTTCCATGGAGCCTCTCCAATGTGCCAGGACAGTGCCACCACCCTGGAACATGTCTGTGGGCGAGGGGAGCCGGGGCAGGGCTCAAAGCACCACCAGCAGCAGTTCCCACTGCTGCAGGCTCAGCCCCACAGTCCCTGCCAGGGATTTCATTCCAGGGCTGCCACAAGCACATCACTACAGCAAACCCTGATGAGTTCAGGTAGAGCCACCCACACTGTGAGCCTCAAACCTTCCCGGCCACGGGGAGCTCTCCAGGTGAGGCATCCCAGGGTTTAATCCCAGGCTCAGGACAAGCTGTTGCTTTTATTTGCTCAGTGGCGTGGCGGGAATGCAGCGTAATCTCGGGTAATCCAGCAGTAATTAACCAGCAGGACAATGACCAGAGCACAGCAGGGTCTGCTGACACCCTGCTCACACAGCTGGAATGTGGGACAAGCACTGCAGGAAAACCAGGTCCTGTGCTACTGCCTCGAGGGAGCGACACCTGACCCTGAGGCACCGGGACACACTTGGAAAGAGAAGAAAAGGGCAGAGTGAAGCCTCTCGCAGGATCCCTCCCCCTCCTGCTCCACCGAGCTGCCCCACAGCCTGCAGGCAGCACAGCTTTTGCAGAGATTTAAGGACACTTGAGGGACGGGGACACTGCTGATAGCACATGGCACTCCCCACCTGCCCAGGGTGTGAGTCACTGTGTCCCTGAGCCCCCCAGCACCCCCATACCTCCCACAGGTAGATGCTCTCAGCAACTCCCACCAGGATGTAGAGCCCGTTGGGAGAGGCTGTCAGGCAGGTCACAGGTCCAGGGCAGAAGATCTTCTGCTGCAGCTGGTCCTGGCGCAGAGAGAGCACAGCAGGCACTCAGTGTAGGGCAGGGGCCCCCCAGGACGTGGACTCAGGGGTCTCACTGGGGGTCTCTGCAGAGAAAGGGATGGGGAGCACCTCTCCGTGGTGATGGGGGTCGGTATGGAGGAAGGGGAGACCTGGGGGGTCCCTGCAGAGAGAGGGACCGTGGGGGCCTTTGTGGAGAGAGAGGACATGGCAGGGTCTGACCGTGGGGGTCTTTGTGGAGAGAGGGAACGAGGCAGGGTCTGACCGTGGGAATGGGGGGGTCTCTGCG